ATTTTTTTTTTTTTTTTTTTTTTTTTTTTTTTTATTTAATTTAATTAATTAATTAATATTTTATAAATCAATAAATATTATATAATAGTGTATTAAGTTTAACTAAATAAATTAATTAATTATGTTTGTGTATATATGTCTGTGTATATGTAAATACTGCTGGTGGTACTGATACACTTGCTGCTGCTCCTGCTCCTGCTCCTGTTGTTGCTGTTGTTGTTGTTCCTCGTGCTGTTGTTACTGATGGATTTGTTGCTGTCGTTGCTTCTGCGTTTGTTGGTGTGAATTCTCCCTAACGTCTGGTCTAGCTTACGTGCAGCAGCAAGAGCAGCAGCAGCAACCCTTGCTGCTGCTGGAGTCTGCAAATATCGCGTGTCTCCTATTTGTGCATCCCTGTTGCCGTCGCGTTGCTTCTGTGCTGTTGCTGCTGCAGGGGCGTGAGGTGGCAGCAGCAACTCACGAGCTGCAGACGAGTGGCGCAGCAGCTGGGGTACCAGTAGGAGGGGAAGGAGACGCCTCCGCCCCTACCCCTATGGATGATGGTTCACAACAGCAACAGCAACAGCAGCAGCAGCAAGATCGCAGCAACAACAGTACCAGCAACAGCAACAGCAGTAGCAACAGTAACAGCAGCAACAGCAGCCAGAGCAGCTCTGCAGCGCGGCAGGGGAGCCACCTGGAGGCCCTTAAGGCAGAGCTGCGGCTGCATAAGCAGCTACAAAAGGTATTATTGCAGGGTGATGGATTTGCAGGTATAAATAGAAAAATACAATTAAAGCCTAAAAGATGGAGACACGAATTAGATGTGTCTCCTTCTGTCTCCTCATGTGGGGTCGCCCCAAGAGACTCCTCTTCCAAACAGCAGCAGCAGCAGCAACCGCAACAACAGCAGCAACAGCAACAGCAGCAGCAGCACGGGGCACAAGAGACAGAGCAGCAGACATTTCAAGGAGAGTTAAGCCGTAAAGCATCGGCTGCTTGCCTTAGTGGAGCAAGTGTCCCCCCTGGGGTCTTAAGGTCTTGCAGTGTCCCCTTACTGCCTTCTGCCCCTCCTGTCTGTTTGTTGTCTCCGCCTGTTGCTTCTGCTGCTTCCTTTACCCTAGCTGATAAGACCCACTACACAGGGGCAGCAAGCCCAACAGAGGCACCGAGCGCCGGTGCTGCTGGTGCTGCTGCTGCAGCAGCTGCTGCTGCAGCAGCAGTAGCAAACTGGCAGGAAAAGGCGCAGCGTGGGAACACCACATGCAGCAGCCCTGCAGCAAAGCAGTCACCGCCGCAGGCAGGCAGCAGCGTCAGCAGCAACAACAGCACAGGCTGGTGCAACAGCAGCACCAGCAGCCACAGCAGCAAACAACTAGAGAGTTGTGTTGTTGTAGCTAAATGGGGGGGAGAGCTAACAGCTATAGGAAGGAAACAGGCAGAGGACTTAGGGCAACGCTTCCGATACCAACTCTATCCAGGTCAGTTCATGCTGCTGTTGCTGCTGCTGTTGCTGCTGCTGTTGGAGCGCCTTCTCGTATTGCTGCTCCTGCTGCAGTGGGAAGTGTTATTGTTTGTGGGTCCAATGGTTTAGCAGCAGCAGCAGCAGCAGCTCCTGATGCTTCTGTGCGGCAGGTTCCTCCCGCAGAAGCAGCTGCAGGGCCTCCAACTGCGTGGCGCTGCGCATCGGCTGTTGCTTTCATGAGACCGGAGACGCATGCTATTAGGGTTTAGGGTTTAGGGTTTAGGGTTTAGGGTTTAGGGTTTTGTGTTGACCCGTTGCAGGAGACAGCGCAGGGTTACTGCGACTTCACAGCACATTCCGCCACGACTTTAAAATTTATACTAGCGATGAAGGAAGGTACGAGTTGTAGACCTGGTGCTGCTGCTTTTGCTGTTACTGCTACTGCTTCTGCTGTTGTTGTTGCTGCTGGTGCTTGTGCTGCTGGGGCTGTCCGTGTGCGTGTCTCTGTATCGTTTTGTCTGCTGGTGCAGTCGCCTGTAGGTTGAAGCTTGCATATATATATATATATAT